AAAAAAAAAAAAAAAAAAAAAAAAAAAGACATTTGGCCAACTTCTTGCTTATAAAATTACATATCCATCTTAAAGACAAATTTTTAAATTAAATTCATCTTCCTTCATCAGCTACATACCTATGGTTCTTACAGCACTGTTTATCTCTTAATGTTATATTTAATGTTCTCAGAAAATTCTACAGCTTTTCTAAATAGGGGTGGTGGGGTCACACCCAGTGGTGCTCAGGGCTCACTCCTGACTCTGCTCAGAGATCATTCCTGGCAGTGTCCAGGGGACCATACAGGGTACCGGGAGTCAAATCTGGGTAGGAAAGATGGAAGGCAAAAGCTCTCTCCACTATACTATTGCTCCAGTCCCATTTTTCTAAAGGGGGTAAAAAGTGGCAAAACAGGACATAAAAGGAACGAGTAATATTATAAACAAATATAATACTAAAATGGGCAAATAAAAATAACCTCAGTGGGGGCAACAGGGATAAGACACTAATGTTATAGCCTCATATTATAAAGGAGAAATAGAAAAAAATACCATCTTACAACTTCCAAAATTTAATTTACTAACAAGTGAGTTTGCTGTTTCCTCACAAACCAGGACACATCAATATTTACAGTCCCCCACAACCGCGTTCCCAAGCAAGAAAAAGCTATTTTAAAAAGAGCCCTCTCTTTCATGAATTCAGTGTAGAAAAGTATGCCAGCACAGACAGGTGGCCTTCAAGTAATCAGTGACATAAACTTCTTACAACTGTTAGAATTACATTTCCCAATAAACTTTCTGAGCTGGGAAAGAGAAAAAGGTCTCAAAGGGGCTAATCTAGAAGCAAAAAAAAAAAAAAAAAAAAAAAAAAGAGAGAGAGAGAGAGAATTTGTGTATGCACATATGTGCATGACTCTGGGGATCAGACCCAGGGATTTATATTCTGCAAGGCATATATTCACTACTCAGCCATTTTCCCAGACCTCTATTTTTAAAATTACATTTAACTGATGGGGTTTCTCCCCATCCCATAATGTGAAAAAAATATCATCCTTTAAGAAAATCCAGAGGCATGAGTTTAACTGGGAACTTTTACCAAAAATTTAAACCATGAAAAACAGACACACAGATAATGGGGAAGAAAAGCAGAAACTGAGGTAAAGGGCGTGTATTTGAACACAGCATGCATGAAAACCGATCATTAAAGTACTGTAAGGGCTGGAGTGACAGCACAGCGGGTAGAGCATTTGCCCTGCATGCGGCCCGACCCGGGTTCGATTCCCAGCATCCCATATGGTCCCCCGAGCACAGCCAGGAGTAATCCCTGAGTGCATGAACCAAGAGTAACTCCTGTGCATCGCTGGTTGTGACCCAAAAAGCAAGCAAAAAAAAGAAAAAAAAAAGTACTGTATATCACGGTGTCTAAAATTTAAAAAGAAAAGAAAAACAGACACAATGCAGAAAATAAAGGTACTAAAAAGAAAGGAGATTAAATCGTACAACCAGAGTTAAAAAACAGCAGTCTGTAAGAATGAAAAACAAAGTTGTAATCAAGGAGAAAGGAAAGAGGGATTGGTCCAAAAAAAGCAGCAAGGTTATGAATGTAAAATATAATTTCATCTTGTTAAAGAAAGCAGCAGTGTGGCTTTCTGTTTCCAGAAAAAGAGGAAAATGGATTCAGGTCATCAATGTTCCCATGGGAGGGCAGCAAATACTACTATAGGCTTTTATGACAAAGTCTTCTAGAAAATGAAGATGAGTTAGAAACAGCCAATAAAATATTTATATTTTACAATATTCCTCATGTTAAGGCTGAACTTCACACCTCTCTAGAAATACAAAAAGCAGCAAGCAATAACTTAACAAGCTACTCTATTTCTACTCTCTGGCTCTATCGGGTTCCTGGCAGCAGCCTCGAAACGCTAAAGAGTTAAAGTCAACCCCATATCCAACACCACACACCACTCCCCATCCCAACTTGGCTCACTGTTTTTTCCCCCGCTGTGGTGAGGATGATTTTGAAAAAGCTCCTCAAATGTCAGGGAACTCTGTAACACAAAAAGAAAAAACAACTCACAAGTATCAAATCTTAACTAGTACTTTGGTTTCCTTCTCAAGGAGATTGGTATAGAGGAAGAAGAATTTACCTAGGAATAAAAACACCAAGAGGACTCTGCTTATTCAGTATTAGTTCTAAGATGTTTGCTCTATTTTAGGTAACACGTTCTGTTAAGGGTTACTAAACTAGAAGAAAGTAAGCCATAGGCTGCTGATGGTGATTTTGTGCCACTAATTGGGCCCAGAAATGTGGTGAGAGAATCAGGTCAAACTAAGAAGTACACTGGACATTCCCAGTGACAGAATTAAGAACCAAGCTCCAGTTCTTCATGACGCTATTTTCTCCTATAAACTGAGGTCTATGTAGGGTTTCTGTGTCTTGCAAGGAAGTCTGGCTAACATATTAAGAGTTTTAATTTTATAGTGAACCTGGGCAGGTCATTACTCATTTATCTGCACTAGTTTCCTCTTTACTAAATGTGTTAGATCTGAGGTTTTCAAAGTTTTAAACAATGGAACCTGTTGGTAAACATGAATGTTTTTGTCTCATAGGACCATACGCCAGGGAATGAAGTGCGGTTGGCTGTGTGCAAGCCAAAAAGATATAAGCCGGTACTAGCTTTCCAGCCCTATAAATATACTTGATAAGAGCACATCTGATATTTATTACTATGACTAAATAATGAGAACGATGTGTTCTGATAAAAAAAAAATTTCTATTGAAGACTAATAAACGTAGGAAGCTTCTGTTTTATTTTGCCTTGTTTTGGTTTAAATGTAATAATTAGTTCTTAAAGTAGTAACCTTTTATGACAATCAAAGATGGTACAGCAAAGACTGAGTTTTACAAACCAAGAAACCAGAACCAAGCTCAGGTCACACTGCCACTGATATGACTAACGAAACAAAATAAGGGAAGCCTCTATAAGCAGCACTGCACTGTAGCACTATCCTCCCATTGTCCATCAATTGATTTGCTCGGGCGGGCCCAGTGACGTCTCCATTGTGAGACTTGTTACTGTGTTTGGCATATCGAATACGTTATGGGTAGCTTGCCAGGCTTTGCTGTGCAAACAAGGTACTCTTGGTAGCTTGCTGGGCTCTCCAAGAGGGGCAGAGGAATCCAGGAACCCAGGTTGGCCGGGACAGTGCTACCGTGCTCTATAATATACTGAAAATCTAAGGATGAACAGAAGATAAATTAAATAAAGTGGGGGGAGGGGGAGAAGCAGCTAAAATAACAGAAATTTAACAGCTTATTTCAGAGTAAAAATTAGATCCATTTGCCAATTACAAACAGATCAGGTCACAGAACTAGCTCAGGCTGGAGCACATGCTTTGAATGCAGGAGGTCTGAGGTTTGATCTCCAGCATCACATGGTCCCTTGAGCACTAATGATGGCAATTGATTGAGCACAGAGCTGGGAGTAGCCCCGAACATTGTTGGTGTGCCTTCCTAAGCCTCCATTGCAAATGAAATAAAGTTACAAATAAATCTACCTTTCATATGTAACAAATAAACTGTGGTTCCTGGTAAAAGTTTCAAAACAAATTTAACATACAATATTAAAAAAAAAAAAAAAGCCAGGGCTTGAGCAATGGTACTGCAGGTAGGGTAGTGGCCTTGTAAGTGGCCAATTACAGTTCGATTCCTGGTATCCCAGATAATTCTCTAAGCACTGCTAGGAGAATTCCTGAGTGCAGAACCAGGAATAGGTCCTGAGCATAACCAGGTGTGAGTCCCCTACCTCCCCTCCAAAAAGCTAAACAAGGCCCAGAAAGAAAGTACAGGCTTTAGGGCACAAACCTTATATGTGCCCAACGTAATTTAATCTCCAGCACCATGTGGTCCCCAGAACATCACCAGGTGTGGCCCTCGAACACTTCCAGGGGGATGCTCGTGGTCCCCAGAACCATAGGATCCAAGCATCACTGCATCCTGAGGCCCCAGCATGGAACTAACCAACCAGTTGGCCAAGAATTGCCATGAGGGATCCCTGGGGTGGCCAAGGTACCACTTGGGAGCACCTCCCTCAAAAAAGGAAGATGGCCAAACTAGATTAGAAACAACAAACTCAAATAAAGCTCTCAGAGCCAAGAAGATAGTACAGGGGCAAGGCATGTGCCCGTGGTCCTCCAGCATTGTAGGTATACCCCTACAGGGCCCCCAAACACCACTGGGATGGCCCTGGTGGTCCCCAGCTGCACTGTATCCTCAGACTCCAGCATCACCCGCCAAGCCTAGTAGGCTGAGAATTGCTGAGCGGTCTCAGCACCCCTGCCTCCCGCCCCCCTAGCACTGTCTAGGAGCCACCTCGCACAACTGCCACCAAACAAAAAAAAAAAAATTCTGCCTTATTGATCCTTTAAGTGGGGGTGCAGTGGAATAGGTCGGGAGAGGTAGAGTTGATGAGGTAAAAGAAAACTAGCTATTTCATAGAATTTCACAGACAATAAACAAGTTCTTAGCATTCCAATTCTTCACATAAAAAATGGCTCAGGGGGCTGGAGGGATAGCACAGCGGGTAGGGCATTTGCCTTGCTCGCGGCTGACCCAGGTTCGATTCCCAGCATCCTCTATGGTCCCCCGAGCACTGCCAGGAGTGATTCCTGAGTACATGAGCCAGGAGTAACCCCTGTGCATCGCCGGCTGTGACCCAAAAAGAAAAAGAAAAAGGCTTGGGCTTACTCTTCAAGCCCATGTTCTCCCTTGAATATGTATCTCACTTGCTTGTGTCTATGGTTCTCTGCTTGCTTATTTCCACTCTGGAGAAGCCTGTGTTCTTCCTTGAACGTGTTCTTCTCCCTCCCTCTCTCCCCTCACATCTTTCTAAATAAATTTCCCTAAAACTATCTTGCTTTATTCCAACAAAACAAAACCAACAACAAAACATGGTTCAGATTCAAACATAGCAACAGATAAAATGAATACAACTATTTTATCTTCACAAAATTAATCCTACCTTTCCAGGGTCATCCTTAGATCGAGGCACTTTAAGGAAACACTTGTTCAGTGACAGATTATGTCGTATGGAATTCTGGAATTAAAAGAAAAAAGTTTATAAAGCAACTGCTATCAGACTGAGAAAGCTACAGTGATGACAACAAAACAGTGGGAGACATCAGTACTCACTCTCGTCACTGGATTAATCAACCAGACAGAACAATAGTGAAGAAACAAGAACTGTAACTGAAAAACTCTAAATGCAAAAAATGGCATTAATCGGCAGATGCAAGAATCTCCGTCCTCAAATTGCTGAATACACATTCTTCTCTAGTGCACATGGAACATTCTCCAGGATAGAAGTATGCTAAGGCACAATCCAAGTAGTCATAGTTTCAAAACAGAAATCCTACCAAGTATCTTCTCAGACCACAATGCCATGAAGGTAGAAATTCATAAAAAGTAGAGGAAAACCCAAACACCTGGAAACTGAACAACCCAACTGCTCAGTAACTATTGATTCAAAGTGGAAATCAAAGAAATAAGCAAGACTCCTCAAAAACAAATGAGAATGAACTACAGAATGAAGATACAAACTATCAGAACTTATGAGATACAGCCAAAGTAGTACTAAGTACCAAAGTAATACTAAAGCTCATAGCAGTATTAGCTCATACCAGGAAAGAAGAAAAACTCCAATCAATGACCAACACAGTCTGAGAAACTATAAAAAGAAGAAATAAATTCTAACGTGAGTAGAAGAAAGAAAAATATAAAAATTAAAGCAAAAATTAATGATATAGTAATCAGTATAAAACATTACAAGGGCCAGAGAAATAGTACAGCAAATAAAGTGTTTGCGTTATGCACATCTAACCCATGGTGAATCTGCCAAGAATGATCCCTAGGCACAGAGCCAGGAATGAAGGCTCAGCACTGCCAGGTGTAACCCAAAAACAAAACAGAAAGAAGCCAAAACCCCACATACACACAAAACACTACACACTCTATAAAAAGTCAATGAAACCTGGAGCTGTTTCTTCAAAAGAATAAACAAGACTGACAAACCTTGGCATGAGATCTTGGGTCAAGATTATTTCCATAACTGTTTAAGAGATAAAGGGATTTTATTTCTACCCTCAGTCCATTAGTAGTAGCGCTCTCTGCCTGTGTTCTAGACAAGGTTTCATACTCCTCCTTAGAAAAGCTTTGTTCCAGTCTTCCCTGGGTAGTCTACGCCACTCTTATGGAGAAGAGGTTTAGGTATCCTACCTCAAGCCTAAAGACAGAAATCAATCCTTAAATTTCAGGACAAAAGTCAATACAGCAAAGTAGCTCCCTACAAATATCAATACCGAAAAAAAAAATCTGTTGCATTTCTATATGCAAACAATAAACTAGAAAAGGTAGAGATCAAAGAGACTGCTCTATTTAAAATAGCATCCCAATCATGAAATACCTAAAGACCATGTGAAAGATCCACACCATGAAAACTGAAAGCCATTTAATGAAAGAAATAGAAGATGACACCGGGTAATGAAAAAATTTTCCATGTTCATAAATTATCATAATAAATGATAATTGAATTATCATTACCAACATGTCTATTACACCCAAAGTCACTGTCACTGTCATTGTCCTCCCGTTGTTCATCGATTTGCTCGAGCGGGCCCAGTAACATTGTGAGACTTGTTATTACTGTGTTTGACATATCGAATACATCAAGGGTAGCTTGCCAGGATTTGCCATGCGGGTGAGATACTCTTGGTAGCTTGTGAGGCTCTCTGAAGGGGCAGAGGAATCAAGCTTGGGTTGGCCAGGTCGGCCACGTGCAAGGCAAACGCCCTACCCGCTGTGCTATTGCTCCAGCCCAAACTACTACACAGATTTAATGTAATTCCCATCATAATGCCAATGACATTCTTAAGGAATTAGACTGAACCATACTAAAATTTATATAGAAGCATATAACCCCAAACCATCCTGAGAAAAAAAGTAGTCAGGAGGCATTACATTCTCTAACTTTAAAGCTACAGAAATCAAAACAGCATACTGAGTAAGAATTAGGCTAACAGAACAATGGATCACAACTGAAATGTCACTGTCACGGTCCTTCCGTTGTTCATCGATTTGCTCGAGCGGGCCCAGTAACGTCTCCATTGTGACAACTGTTACTGTGTTTGGCATATCAGATACGTCACAGGTAGCTTCCAGGCTTTGCCATGCGGGCAAGATACTCTCGGTAGCTTGCCGAGCTCTCCGACAGAGATGGAGGAATCGAACTCGGGTGGGCCATGTTGGCCACTTGCAAGGCAAACGCCCTACTCGCTATGCTATTGCTCCAGCCCCACAACTGAAATACCATAATAAATTCTGAGCTATGTGGATAATTAATCTATGATCAAAAAAGTAGAGAGCAGGAACAAGGAAAACCTCTTTAACAAATGATGCTGGGAAAACAAGATAGTTATTGTAAGAAAAGAAAGATATTCACATTATACATAAAAATTAATTCCAAGCGGATCAAAGACCTAGAAATTAGACAAGAAGCTATAAAATGTATTAAGAAAAACAGGCATAACTCTCCAGTAATGTACAAAAGGGGCCTTCAATGACCTTCAATTAGCCTCTATGAAAACAATATGAGGTTTCTAAAAAAAAAAAAAAAAAACTAAGACTGTGGCTCCCGTTTAATATAGCTATTCCACTTATAGGTACCTACTCCCAAAAGATTGGCAGAAGGTTGTTCATTGATTTGCTCGTGCGGGCCCAGTAACATCTCCATTTTGAGACTTGTTGTTACTGTGTTTGGCGTATTGAATACATCACGGGGAACTTGCCAGGCTTTGCCGTGTGAGCAAGATACTCTCGGTAGCTTACTGGGCTCTCTGAGAGGGGCAGAAGAATCGAATCCGGCTCGGCTGGGCTGGCTGCGTGCAAGGCAAACGCTCTACCACTGTGCTATAGCTCCAGCCCAGTCAGCCCAGTCTGATTCTGACTGCGAATCAGAAGATTCTAACTAAAATAGGTAAACCAAGAAAATACTATTGTACATTACAAGTTGTAAATGAGAGGTGTTTACAACTTGTGAAGGTAACTTTTATTGGTTGAAGAGAGGAGGGAAGAAAGATCCTAAAGCTGGTGTCACTTTTCTTTCCAGAAATGTAAAGCAATCTGAAATCACCCAGATTAGAAAACGTTGCTATGATCACTCAATAGGACTCAGGTAGAACTAAATACCTATTATGGGCTAGGAATCAAACCCAGTACCTCACCCATACAAGGCAAATGCTGTATCTTTGAACTTGGCCCCTAGAATGTATTTTATTTATTTGTATGTTTTGGGGTTATACCCAGCACTGCTCCGGGGTTAACTGTCTTTGTACTCAGGAATAACTCCTGGGGTGCTATTAATAACAGCTTATTAAATTTTACCCATCCTCAAAATAGAAAAATTCCCACTTCAATAGTTGTCTAATGTTTCTTCCCTTCCTGTATTCTCTTAATACTTAGTCTCTGTTTACTTTACAGCCATATCACACTCCCACTATATTTTGAAACTACAGCACTTATTAACTGCACCGATCACTTAACACTTTTGCTTTGGGGCCACACCTGACCATGCTCTGTCCTTACTCCAGGCTCTGTGTGCACGGATCTCTCCTGGCAGACTTGGGGGACCATATGGGGTGCCAGGGATCAAACCTGGGTGAGCCAGATACAAGGCAAGAGTCCCACCTACTGCTATCTCTTCAGCCCCCAAATGTGGTTGTTTTGGGGACACAGCCAGTGGCACCCAGTGCTTATCCTGACTCTGTATTCAGGGATCACCCCTGGCATGGCTCTGGGGTACATATGGAACGCCAGGGGTCTAACCCAGGTTGGCTGTATGCAAGACAACAATCTGTGCTGTTTCTCCAGATCCCATTTAACACTTCTTAATAGGTCACATGTACAGTGGGTATTATGATGGTCTGCATACAATAGAAGTATACCATTAGTCAACTCTTCTTTTTAGTGCACTCTATATTCCACTACTATAAAGAATTTCACATAACATCATATTTACTTGTTTGTAAGTATTTTTCATAGTCAATAAATAGAGAAGCCCTACACTAAAGGGCCTACACTAGAGGCCCTACATCATGCCCTACAGAGTATAGCACGACACTCAAAGAATCTATAATGGCCTCTATCCGAACAATGAAAAAAGGCTCAATTAGCTTAAACAGAGTATTATCTAAGCTAGAAACTGCAACTGAAGGAAACTGCCCACCCCCCACCCCCACCAAAAATGAGGTTGCATAAGAGGGTGAAAAAAAAAAAGCTATGTTGCAAAAGGTATGACAAGGATTTAGAGTTTCATTCAAGTATTTATTAAGGCTTACCAAAAGCAGCACTGTGCTAGGGCACAGAAGAGAGAAAGCAGTGCATAAAAAACCCAATCGTGGTAATTCCCTCCCCTTAAGATACTTCATGATCTGGCAGAATACAAGGCATATCAATGGCAAACACAACAAAGCAACAACTTTTTAAATTTTTTTTTTCTTTTTGGGTCACACCTGGCAATGCACAGGACTTACTCCTGGCTCTGCACTTAGGAATTACTCCGGGTGGTGCTAAGGGGACCATAAGAGATGCTGAGAATTGAGCCTGGGTCGGCCGCACACAAGGCAAATGCCCTACCCACTGTGCTATTGCTCCAGCCCCAACAAATTTTTAATAAACCTAGTCTAGTGAAAAATAACAAGGCTGTTGAGAAAGGGAAGCCTAAGAGAAATAAGAATAACATTAATGGCCAATATAACCTATAAATCTCTCCACAGGCATGCACACACAAACACTAATGCCACAAAGCACACATATATAAAAGAATACAGTCAGAGAACCAAGAAAGCTGAATTATTTGTTGTATAACAAATTAAGTAGGTATCTATTTGACAGTCTATCAAAAAGCTTAAAGTATTAGGGCTTCTGAAAGAAGAACCAGAGTGTTTGGTTCTCTAATACTGCAAGAGAGAAAGGACAGATAGACCTGGAGCATCAGTGCCAGAAAGAAAAGAAAAATCTAACTCATCAAAAGAATGAAGCCATGTTAGTATGCACAGAAACCAACCTGTACTAGTTTCGAATGGCCAAAACTACAATAATTTGAGATAAATGATAGCACGAACAATAAAAAAAGTTTTTATGAATATACACTCTTACTAATAAATGAGTGAACAAAAGGTGAAGAGCCAATACTTCCTTATGGTAGAATCTAAACTAATACATGTAGAAAAATAAGGCAAAATGAACAGAAACTTTCTCGAAGAAGAAATCTGAATGACCAAAAGGCACATGAAAAAATGCTCATCACTATTCATCAGGGAGATGCAGATCAAAACAACGAGATATCATCTCACACCACAGAGACTGGCCCACATCCAAAAGCAACCGGTGTTGTCACGGATGTGGGGAGAAAGGGACTCTCCTTCACTGCTGGTGGGAATGCCGACTGGTTCAGTCCTTTTGGAAAACAGTATGGACGCTTTTCAAAAAATTAGAAATTGAGCTCCCATTTGACCCAGCAATACCACTTCTGGGAATATATCCCAGAGATGCAAAAAATATATAGTAGAAATGACACCTGCAATTACACGTACACTGCAGCACTGTTTACAATAGCCAGAATCTGGAAAACCCCGAGTGCCCAAGAATAGATGACTGGTTAAAGAAACTCTGGTACATCTACACAATGGAATACTATGCAGCTGTTAGGAAAGATGAAGTCATGAAATTTTCATATAGGTGGATTAACATGAAGAGTATCATGTGAAATGAGTGAAATGAGTCAAAAAGAGAGGGACACAGAAAGATTGCACTCATTTGTGGAATATAAAGTAACAGAATGGGAGACTAACACCCAAGAATAGTAGAGATAGGTCACTGTCGCTGTCCTCCTGTTGTTCGTCGATTTGCTCGAGCGGGCCCAGTAACGTCTCCATTGGAGACTTTTGTTGTTACTGTGATTGGTATATCGAATACATCACGGGGAGCTTGCCAGGCTCTGCCGTGTGGGCGAGATACTCTCGGTAGCTTGCCAGGCTCTCCGAGAGGGGCGGAGGAATTGAACTCGGGCCGGCCATGTTGGCTGCGTGCAAGGCAAATGCCCTACCGCTGTGCTATCGAGATAGGTACCAGGAGGATTAACTCCACAGTTTAGGAGCTGGCCTCACATGCTGGGGGAAAAGGCAGCTCAGATAGAGAAGGGACCACCAAGTAAAGGGTGCTAGGAGGGCCCGCTCAGTATGGGAGATGCGGGGTAAATGTAGACTATAGACCAAACATGATGGCCACTTAATACCTCTATTGCAAACCACAACACCCAAAAGGAGAGAGAGCAAAGGGAATGCCCTGCCACAGAGGCAGAGTGGGGTGGAGGGGATGGGGTGGGGGTGGTGGGAGGGATGCTGGGACCACTGGTGGTGGAAAATGGGCACTGGTGGAGGGATGGGTACTCGATCATTGTATGACTGAAATGCAAGCACGAAAGTTTGTAAATCTGTAACTACCTCACGGTGATTCACTAAAAAATAAAATTTTAAAAAAAAGGCAAAAGAAAATCACCACAGTTTGGAGAAACTGAGTTAGGGCTCTCACCTTGCATGCAACTGACCCTGTTTTAATTCCCACCATCATTAGTAGTCCTCTGAGAATAACCAAGAATGACCCCAATCAAAGAGCCAGAAGCAAGCCCTGAGTACATGAAGCTCAAAAACTAAAGAAAAAAGAAAACTACCACTTAAAAATTGTTTAAGCTGCAATTTTGGTACACCAATGAATAAAAAAAACTAAATGATAAAGAAACAGGGTACTTAATATGTTCTCAAAGTATTTGCCAAAAACATTTTCTAATTTTCTAAGTTCAATAATTTTATAGTGGAGAATCTTGACAACCATCACCTTAAACAAAGAATAAAATATTACTAGTAAAAAGATACTGATATTGTATACCCCCTAATATGATGTATCCTCTGTCTCATTTGCCTTACAATAATGCCTCATGAGAAAGAATCAGTCACATACAAAGAGTTTATCAAATACCTGACAAGCACTCAACAAATGTCTACGTTAAAAAAGACAAGATTGGGTCCAAAAGGTAGGACCACGGGTAGAGCACTTGTTTTGCATACGACCACCTTGGGTTCAATTCCCAGCATCCCATATAATCCCCCAAAGCTCACCAAGAATGATCCCTGAGTACCACCAGTTGTGCCCTTTATTTTCTTCCCCCCAAAAAAGATAAAACTAAGTAACTGTTACAGACTTAAGAAGCCTAGGAAGTTATGCCAAGTAAATACAGTGTGGCATCCTAGATTGGGTACCGGAACATCAAAGGACATTAGCTGAAAAATTAGTAAAATTTGAATAAAGGCTACAGTTACTTCCTATTTCATAGCTTTGCTTTGTCAAAACTACTGTACCAATGTTAATTTCTTAGTTTTGGTAACTATACTAAGGTGCATAAAATGATATGTAGATAAAGGAAACAGTTGTGTGCTCTTCCTTTGTACTCTATATAAAAAACAATGTAAATTTTTTTCAAAATTGAAAGTCAAAAAAATTGAATGATATAATAAACATGAGAAATTGCAATACCATATTACTCCACCTTTCACTACCTGAACTCTGGGTATAATTTTCCAATGAATGTTACATTATTTCTGCCCTTAATTTATGCTTTAACATTCCTATAAGAAAGTTCTACCAAAATAATATTCTGCCAAAATTTAAGCTAGTCACTTAAATTTAAATGTTTTAATTTCCTTTTTCTGACGCCCTACAAGAATGATTAATAACTAGAATTACATCTTTAACTGAACAGGCCTCTACATAATGCTTTATTTTCAATGAAAGTCGATACTGTTAATGACTACTGCATAAAAGTAATAAACCAAATGAAATACTTACCTTCCAACCACTGCCAGCCTCTCTATAATATGGGAAGTTATCACAAATCCACTGGTAGATCTCACTTAGAGTCATTTTCTTTTTAGGCGAGCTATTAATTGCAAATGTAATGAGGCTGGCATAACTGTATGGAGGTTTCCCATCTTTGTGCTGTTGGACTTCTTCCTGGTCCAGGGTTGTATTTGGGTCAAGGAGTGCATTCTTCTTAGAAATTCCTGTTCCGTGTGCATTTTGTGAAGCATCCGATTTTTGGATGGCTGCTCTCATGGTGAGCTGTGGTAACCAGTCCATAGATGTTAAGCTGCTCTCCAGTTCAGATGTCATCCTGAAGGTAAATAGACTCCTTAGTAAGTATCAAAAGAAAGAACCCCTGCTTCTCAAAATAGCCAATATTCACAAATCTAGGAGTTTCAAAGTGAGGTAAAGCCTGAGTTAATTTGGAGAAAAATATTTGAGTAAGTTAATGACCAAGCAAAATATTCAAGGAATCAATATTTTCACTCTAAATTTTTTTTTCCTTTCCAAAACACCAATTTGGATTTTGAGTGTTTAAGATACAAAACACAAAGACACAGTTGTTCTGATATCTTGCTGGAAAAGTCTTTTACTCCAAATGAACAAGATCACAGCATAAAAAACTAAATCTGTAGTCCAGCTCTTCACCAATGCCAAAAATAGCCTTAAAAACTTGAAATTATACATATGGCATTTTACACAAATTTTAAGGGCATTACACAAACAAAAGAATACCAAAAATAGAATAAACAAAGACAGAGAAAAGAACATAGCTGATCAGAAGGGAGGTAAGGAAGGTATAAACAGGGTGGACTCAACCACCTTGGGGAACTGAGGAATACAATCTCAAGGACACATGAACCAGAGAAAAGGCAGCAGCAGGCAGTTATCACATCTATCCCTTTACCTGCTTTCAACACTCAGTTCTTGTCCAACTATTTTCATAATGGACCATCCTCTACCTTAACAACCTCCATCTTATTATTTTATTTAAATAATACTAATTTGAGGACCAAGCTCAAGAAAAATAAAGATCTAGGAATATAGACTATTATAGCATAAATTCCACAAATGAAAAGAAGCATTAAAAGACCAGCAGAGGGGCTGGAGCAATAGCACAGTGGGTAGGGCGTCTGCCTTGCACACGGCTGACCTGGGCTCAATCCCCAGCATCCCATATGATCCCCTGAGCACCGCCAGGAGTAAGTCCCAAGTGCAGAGTCAGGAGTACCCTCTGAGCATCACCAAGTGTGGCCCAAAAAGCAAATAATAACAACAATAAAAGATCTGCAGACCAATGGAATAGTTAATATTCTGGCACAGACCCTCAAATATATCCTTAATCTTTGATAAGGGCGCAAGAAATATAAAGTGAAGGAAGGAAAGCCTCTAACAAATGGTACTGGGAAAATTGGGCAGCTACATGCACAAAACTGAACTCTGACCTCCATCTAACTCCATGTACAAAAGTCAGATCAAAATGGATTAAAGACCTCAACATCAGACCTGAATCCTTAATAGCCAAAATCTGGAAACAACCTGAGTGACTGACAACAGAGGACTGGATCAAGAAACTATGGTACATCTATACAATGAAATACTACACAGCTGTTAGGAAAACTGGTCATGAAATTTGCCTATAAATGGATAGACATGGAGAGTATCATGCTGAGTGAAATGAGTTAGAAGGAGAGAGACTGATATAGAATGACTACATTCATTAGTGGGATATTGAAAAAAAAATAGTATGAAACTGATCTTCTTCAAGACCTGGGAAAAGTGGGGCCAGGAGGCCTGGTCAATGGTTGGAAATTACCACAAGTATGTGTGGGGAGACAGAGGGTAGTTAAGATAGAGGAGGGTCCATTATGACAATAGTTGGAAATGATCACTATGGACAAGAACTAAGTGTTGAAAGCAGGTAAAGGGATATACATGATAACCTTTCACCATCTGTATTGCAAATAATGTCTAAATGAGAGAGAGAAATGCCTAAAATGAGAGAGAAAGAGAGAGAGAGAGGTGCCTGTTAACAGAAGCAGGCTGGGGTGGGGAATGGGGGGGTGGGGACACTGGTGCTGGGAAATTACTCTGTGGAGGGATGGGTGTTGGAACACAGTATGACTGAAACCTAATCATGGTGATTCAATTAAAAAACTGAAATTAAAAAAGAGAAATACATGCTATAAAAGGGGGGAGAGGCGCCCATGAGCACATACAGACGGGCTTACCAAACATCTAGTGATCTGAATTCTGTAATACATTTATCAAAAAAATTTTTCAGTCTATCATCAAAGAAAGAAAAAAAGATCTGCCAGATTAATATTCTACAGAAGGGGAGCTTCTCTTAAGAACTGAAGATAGAAAGAGAGAAACAAAGGTTCAATTCCTGGTAATGCTTGATCCTCAGAGTTCCACCAGGAGTAAGTCCCAAGTACCGAGCAAAGAGTAGCCACTGAGCAACTGCAGGTGTGCCCACATCCCCCACTCCCCAAAAAGAAATCTACAGTACGTGTTTAGGATTGCGCTTCTGGGAGGCAATAGAGAACGGATAAAGGCAGAAACTCTGGAGTCAGGCGAACCAGAGGTCTAGTACTGATCCTACCAGCTGAAGGACTAGAAAATGTGTATCAATATATCTAAACCCCAGTTTCTCACCTGTTACTAAATAACAGAAACAAAAACAATAGCAGAGAAGCATTCTCTACCTTGGAGATTCACCTACATCCCAATCTGAGATGTGAATTATCAACTTTACCCACCTGGAAAGCTCATTCTCTCACCTCATATATGTTTCTTTAAACAAAACTATTTTACTTTAAAAAAATAAGTAACAGGGGGCTGGAGTGATAGCACAGCGGGTAGGGCGTTTGCCTTGCACATGGCCAACCCAAGTTCGATTCCCAGCATCACATATGGTTCCCTGAGCCAGGAGCCAGGAGAAACCCCTGTGAATCGCCCGGTGTGACCCAAAAGAAAAGAAAAAAAAAGTAACAAACAGTAATAGTATCTACAGTTAAAATATTACTGTAAGAGTCAAATGGAAAAACATACATTAAAGAAACATTCAATTAAAAGAAGACTATAACTCTAGGAATATCTTGGTAAACTACTAAAGTACTATTTAAAAGATCAGATTCATCAATAACAATTATAAATCAGCAGTCATTTATGAGAATCTTGACCCATGGTTTCACTCTCTCATTTTCTCAAGTTCCCTCTATTTTATACATTCCTGAAACCCGAACTTTAAATTCCTCTATACAATACCTTTAGAAGCATTGCAGGATGGTAATAATATCTACCATCTATTCTTTATAATCTCAGTCAAATATTTCTGTTCCTAGCATAAAATAAGTTCTAAGAATTTTGGGAGTAAGGAGACAAGATAATTTAGTTATCACTGGATGTTAAAAGAGTAGGTAACATATTCTAGAGACTAGACTAATCCAATCAATCCAACAACAACAAAAAAAAAAACCCATAAAGTTCATTAATGTTAAACTCGCCCAAATTCTCATCAGTAGGACAGCAAAACTAAAGTCCGAAGCCACATTTCCAGAGGCTCAATCCACTAGTTTTTCTATCATACATCCCTCATGTATAAAATCGATATAAAATCAAGATAACCCATTGTCAGAAAAATAGCACAGGAGGTAGGTGGTCTCCTTATATATGACCAACCAGAGCATCATATATTTGTGGTAGTAAATATTCAATAAGAGTTAGCTGTTGGTGGTAATATTCAATAAATGTTAGTTATCAGTGGTAATGATAACAGTTGCTTCTGTTATCCACATATTATCCTATAAACATTACTTATTATACTAGATTGCCATTTTCAATTTAGTCTGAGTAGTTTTATTTTGTAAATAATCAGTCACATACCATCTTAAAAGCTAATATAAAAACATGTTCCAAAATGGAGTATAACTGTTCCTGAAAACTATCTGTAACTTGTTTACTACCACCAGTGGTACTAACGTAGACTTAATGAGTTTCAATAATATATAAACATACTGTAAGCTACTTATTTTAAGACTTTATAATCACACATAAACAGAGTGAGATTTACACAATGTATGTATGCATACACACACACAAACAAAACACACAATGCTCTATCAGAGTGAGATTTTACACAATGTATGTATGCATACACACACACAAACAAAACACACACACACCATGATAAAATTCCTGTCTTCTAAGAACCAAATTATGAAAATCAAATACAGAGTTGAAGAGATTTCTCATCTTGCAGATAACTGCAATGGTCATAGCCCTGGTTCAAATCCCTGGCACTACATATAGTCCAAGTACAGCCAAAGTCATTCTTGAACAGAGAACCAAGAAGAGCCTCAACAGGTATGGTCCAAATCCTCACCATACCCACCAAATGAAAGGGGGGGTGGGGGGGGGGAATCAAACACAAGAAAGAGCTGAGTTAGATCATTCAAGAATGAGTTCTGTATATGTAAGCTTACAAAAAGGAAAGGACAATGTGGACTGAATGCAGCCTTGAAAGGTAGAAAAGGAACAACTTCAGTTAAAACTTACAGAAACCTAAGATCTAGGGGCTGGAAATATACTACAGCAGGTAAAAAACTTGCCACATATGCCACCAACACAGGTTCAATCCCTGGCACTGCATATGGTCACCCAAATCCCACCAGGAGTGATCCCTGAGCACAGAGTGAGGAATAAGCCCTGAGCATGGCCGGGCGTGGCACAATTCCCCTTTACATATCCCCCCCCCCAACACACACACACACACACACACACACACACACACACACACACACGTTTCAGATCTATACAAGCTGAAAAGAAAATGTGACATCATGAATATGCATTCCATTGTTGTACATCGCTTTTACAAGCAGATCTGATGTATATTCATAAACTGTCTTCAACTTAAACTTGGAAAAAATGGGAATTTTGTAATTTATTAAAATTTATATATTCCTGGAAGTGAAGTAAAATGTACCTTCCCTGCTAGTGCTTACTCAGCTGTTGTGATTCTAGTGATCTGCCACTAAGTACTGAGAACACACACACAAAATGACCATCAGATTTGGCCATATCATCGTTAGCCTTGGAAAGAAATCTCTTTGTGGAATGGTGATGACAGAAGTCAACTTGTATAAGAGAACAGATGGTGGTAATACAAACAGCATGGGAGTCTCTGAGGAATCTGGTTATGGAAATCTGGTTAAGAAATGTCAGGCCCTCATTACCTCACCTCATTCCAAAACCTTCCGTGTTGACCTCCCAGACAGATTTCTCACTACTCCTGCCTGCTAAGCA